AAAACACAAGAGAAGATGCTTAACATCATTAATCATTAATCAATCATTAATCATTAAGGAAATGCAAATGAAACCAAAATGAGATGCCACTTCACTCCAGCTAGGATGGCTTTAATGAAATTATGGACAGTAACAAATATTGGCAAGAGAACAGAGAAACTGGAACCTTCATACATTGTTGGTGGAAATGTAAAATGGTGCAGCCACTCTGGAAAAATATTTGGCAATTTCTCATGAGGTTAAACCTAAAGCTACCACGTGATCAAGCAATGCCACTCTTAGGTATATAACCAAAAGAAGTGGAACCGTGACCACAGGAAAACTTGTGTACAAATCTTCTTAGCAGGATTATTCATAATAACCAAAAGTAGAAACAATCCAAATCTCCATCAGCTAATAAGTTAACAAACAAATGTAAGGATAGAATATACTATGCCATTAAAAGGAATGAGATATTGATGGATATTATAATATAATATGGATGAACCTTGGAAATATTATGCTAAGTAAAATAAGTCAGACACTGGTGGCCATATGTTGTGTGATTTCATTTACATGAAATGTCCAAAGTAGGCAAATTCATAGACACAGAAAATAGATTAGTAGAGGGAGGAATGGAGAGCAGGGTGAGGAAAATCTTAGAAAAATTGATTATTGTGATGATTATACAACTCTGTGACTATAGTAAGACTACTGAATTGTACAATTTTAAAAGGTGAATTTTCTGGTATGTAAATTATCTCTCAATAATAAAGAGGAAAAGTATATATATATATATATATATATATATATATATATATATATATATATATATAATTTTAATTTTAAATCAATATGTTGGCTGTTCTAGAAAATTAGGTAGACAGTACTTTTGACATCATTTTCATTTGATTTGAAACATGCAAATTTAGAACATTTTTATTTATAGAAAAGTAAATGTATAAATTTCCTACAGCAAGTATAAAAATGTCCTTCACATGACAGGAAATTTCAGTTCACTCTTAAAAATCTGTATGGCATTTTACTTTCCAAAAATATTTATTTTTTACCAATCCATCTGCTCCTTGGACATAAGTTAGATAATAAAACACAGTATCCAAAGTAAGAATTTTTTCCTTTGCCTGGTGTGCCTGCTGTCTGCTCTTGGACGAATGGCTATTCAATTCTCAGGGCTATCTTGCAACTACCCTGTTTCCCCAAAAATAAGACAGTGTCTTATATTAATTTTTTCTCCCAAAGTTGCACTAGGTCTTATTTTCAGAGGATGTCTTATTTTCGGGGAAACACGGTATTTCATCTGACTGTGGATAAGAGAAGACCCAGACACAAAAATGAATTACTGCAGATGGCATCAAATCAGCATATTCCAGTTACTTGAGGGGAAAAGCTTATTTTAACTATTGGCAGCAATGCCCAGTCATTTATATTTAAACATCTACCTTTGCCCTAAGCATCACTGATAACGTGATTGTGTGTTTACATTGGCAGCAATGTGATTATAGCGATAAAGTCAAGTGCCACGCTCTTCGTTTATCACTGACACAGCTCTTCCAGGTAATGGAGGCCTTCCTTCCACCTGAGAAGCGATGGTACTTTAAATACAATCCATGGCCACAGAGTAACCCAGCAGAGTCATTGAGTCCTCATGGGCCAAAGGAAGCAACTCCCTACTCTGAAATTCCAAGGGGAAAGGCCAACGACTTTCGAGGGCAACAGTCATCCTGGTTCATTCCTAAAGCATTCCAACGGAGCAGCACGCACGACTGCATGGCTGGGTGGTGCGCTGTTCAGTGAACACTGAACAAACAGGAATGTATACTTAACGAAATTGCTGTCCTTAGATAAACATTGGGGGAAACTCTGGAGACAGTAGATTTTCATAATTTTGACTGAAAGTTCATTTTAGGTAAAGGTAGACTTGGATGTGCCCTGGTTAATCACTTAAGATACCTGCTTCTTACATCAAATGACTGAGAAGTATTTCTACAATAGAAGCGTTCAGATGGATATTAAATTTAATTACTTTTTTACTTTTAAAATCTTTATTTTTAAAAGTATTGCATATGTTCCCTTTTTTCTATATTCATCCCTTCTAGCCAGAACCTCATCCCCACCCTAGGCCTTCACCACCTTATTGTCTGTGTCCATGGGTTATGCATATATGCATACAAGTTCTTTGGTTGATCTCTTCCCATCTACCCACCCACTCTCATTCTACGCTTCTAGTCTCTGGATCTATTTTGTTCATCAGTTTAGGTCTGTTCTACGCTTCTAGTCTCTGGATCTATTTTGTTCATCAGTATATTTTGTTCATTACATTCCACTTATGAGTGAGATCATGTGATACTTGTCTTTCTCTGACTGGCTTATTTCACTTAGCATGATACTCTCCATGTCCCTCTATGCTGTCTCAAAAGAGATCCTTCTTTTATACCACTGCATGGCTATCCCATAAAATATTTGAATCATCTATATACATCTCTTTCCTCATCTATATATATATATTAAAAGCCCCAGCGTCCAGAATGACTGAAATGACCAATTAACCGGTCACCATGAGGTGCATTGACTTCCTCTCGGTCCATCCCTCCCAGCCCTCAGGCTCCAATTGTTCAGGGGATGGCTAATGGGGGAGTCAGGGTGAGTGGCACTGCAGGGACTGGTGAGCAGGTGGAAGGCAGACCTCTTTGTCCCTCCCCCCTTCCACCGGCCCTGAGCCTCTGATTGATCGGTAGTGGCAGCAGGGCACTGGCAAACAGGTAGGACATGGCCCTAATCACAGGCTTGTCCTAGGGATCCTAACCATGCACGATTTCGTGCACTGGGCCTCTATAGTATATAAAGCCCTCAAAATCAGAGCTCATGTTTTTTTAACCCTGATATCCACAATACCCCTGTCCTGAGCCTAGCATGGTTTGTAGAAAATAAGTGGGCACTCAGTGTTTGCTGTTGAACTAAGTTCATCAAAGCTTTGTGGTTAAGAATAAAGCCTCAGGATTCACACTGCCCGTATTCATATACTTTACTATATGACTTTTGATAAGTTACTTAACATCTTTAGTTTCCCCATATATAAAATCAGGAAATTCATAATATCACCTCAAAAGTTGTTGTAAGAAGTAAATGAGATAATACAAATAAACCAATTTTGCAAGCTTAGCTTAATTTATGTTAGCTGTCATCATCATCAACATTAACAGCACGTATTGCATGCACTAATTTCATTACCACTTGCATTATTACAACTGTATTAGCCTTGGGATTATGCACACTTATCCTGGGGCCAGCTAGTCATTGCTTTGAGAGTTTAATGGAAAACTGAGCCAGGTCTCCTGCTTGACTCTGATTAGAGGGAAGCCAGAGTCAGCAAAAATAATTACTTTGTCTTTTCCTGAAACTTCCCCCACCCTTTTCCCAGAGAAGGAAGAAATGAGGGAATTTGCACTCTGACTGCAAACATATAATAAGCAGAGGTTCCAAATAAGCTCTGAGGAAAGAGATGTCTGGGGTGTGTGTGTGTGTGTGTGTGTGTGTGTGTGTGTGTGTGTGTGTGGTGTGTGTGTGTGTGTGTGTTGTGTGTTTGTGCCTGTGTGTGTGTGTGTGTGTGTGTGTGTGTGAGTGTGTGTAAATACTGATTCATATAATATCTATCTGGAAGAGAATTAAAAACATACCTTGAAGATAACAGCAGTGCAGGGCATCACAATAACCCAGAGGTGTATTCAGGACATTTGTTACCACGATTACATTGACTAGGAAATGAGCTGCCTATTGATTGATACAGATATATGGAATCTTGAGCTGTATGATAAAATGGTTTTGTATTTTCATTCATGAAGCCCATAATGGGAATTGACTTTTACTAATATATATTGCTCTTCTTTTATATTATCTTATTCTCTAAAATGTCTGTAGTCCTATCAACTATAAAATTTTCCATTGATGTCCTACCAGCTAAAAACAATCAGAGCTGCCACTGTCCATGGGTCTATACATATATTGCAGTGAAACTTTATTGCTCTTGCCATCTAAAAACAGTCTCTGTGGAGCCCTGGCCAGTGTAGCTCAGTTGTTTGAGCATTATCCTATGCACCGAGAAATAACTGGTTCAATTCCCAGTCAGAGCACATGTCCAATTGCAGGCTCAATCCCCAGTAAGCGGCATACAGGAGGCAGACAATTGATGTTTCTCTCTCTCCCTCTCCCTTCTTCTCTCTCTGAAATCAATAAAAACATTTTTTAAAGTCTCTCTCTCTCTCTCTCTCTCTCTCTCTCTCTCTCTCTCTCTCTCTCTCTCTCTCATAAATGTTTTCAGTGTTCCAGCCCATTCTTCTTTCTTTCATTCATTCATTTGTTGTTTCTATCAATAAAACTTTAAATAGGTAGACATTTTTACCAACAAAATGATACTATAAAATTATAACAAAGGACATCATAGTTTTACAAAATTATAACAAAGATTGATTATAAGATTGTGAAATTTTTTTTTTACTATTTAATTTTAGAAAATTTTTATTACTCCAAAAAGAAACCATACCTATTAGCATTTATTCCCCAGTTCCTTACTCCTCAGCCTTTGGAAACTACCCATCTACTTTCTATTTCTGTGCATTTGCCTATGTTGGACATTTTATATAAACGGAATCATAAAATATGTGACCTTTTGTGTCTGCTTTATTTTACTTAACATAATGTCCTTGAGATTTATGAATGTTGTATCAGTATCTCATTCCTTTTTGTGGCTGAATAATATTATATATTATGGATCTATCATATTTTAATAGGAATTTGGTTGGTGGACATTTCTATTGTTTTCACTTTGGGATGGATATATATATATAAAGCCTAAGTGATTGGCCAACTATTTGACCAGCCAACCAGTAGCTATGATGTGCCCTGACCACCAGAGGGCAGTTGCTCAACAGAGGAGCTGCTGAGCTGTGGTGACTTGGCAGCCATAGTTCTCAGATGACGCATCCATGAGGAAGGAGCCTGATTCCAGGGTGTGTCACATGAGAACCACCCTCACAATCCGGGACACCTCGGGGGTTGTCAGAGAACTAGTTTCAGCCCAATCCCCACAGGCCAGGCCAAAGGATCCATGCACCAGGCCTCTAGTTATAAATAATTTGCTATAAACATTCAGGTCAAGTTTTTGTGTGGACAGGTGTTTGCACTTCTCTTGAATATATACCAAGGAGTGGAACTGCTGGTCATATGGTAACTATAACTATAACTTTATGAGGAGCTGCCAAGCTGTTTCCAAATGGCTACACCATTTTACATTCCCACCAGCAATGTATGCAGGTTCAAACTGCTCCACATCCTCACCAACACTTGTCATTAGCTGTTTTTTTTATTATTGCCATCCTAAGAAGTGTGAAGTGGTATCTTCTTGTGGTTTTGATTTCTTGAGGCCTAATGATGTGGGATGTCTTTTCCTTAGTTTATTAAATTTATTGGTATGACATTGGTTAATAAAATTATATAGGTTTTAAGTGTACAATTCTATAACTCATCATCTGTATATTGCATTGTGAGATCACCATCCAAAGTCAAGTTTGTTTTCATCACCATATGCTTGACCCCCCCCCCTTTACTCTCCCCTACCTCCCTCCATTCCTCTTCCCCTTTTGTAACTACCATATTGCTGTATGTGTCAATGGGTTTTTGTTTGTTTATCTTCTTTGTTTGTTTGCTGCTTTCAGTTTTTATGCCACTTATAAGTAAAATCATATGGATCTAGACTTTTTCCATTTGACTTTCTTTTCTTATGATATGTATTCTCACAATACATCCATATTGTCACAAATGGCAGTATGTCATCTTTTCTTATGGCTGAGTAATGTTCTATTTATTTAGGTCCTCTTTTACCTTTTTCAACAATTATTTGTAATTCTCAGGGTACAACTCTGGCACTTTCTGCAAAGTTTATCCCTAAGTATTTTATTCCTTTTGATGATGTGGTAAATAGAATTGTTTTTCTTAACTTTATTTTCAGATTATTTATTGCTAATATATAGAAATACAATTGATTTCTTATTTTTGTTTTATATCATGAAACCTTGTGGAACTCAAATATCACTTTTAAATTGTTTGCCAATTCCTTAGGATTTTCTATAATTGAAATCATCGCATATGCAAATAGATATTTTTCTGTAGATTGCAGAATTCAGTTTTAACAACTTGACCTGCAAAAGCAGACATTTTAAAAACAAAACAAACAAACAAAAAAACAAGAAAGAAAAAAACTGAAGAAGCTGAGAAGTTGTATATTTTTTGATGATTCACATTTTAGCTAAATTCTATAGGTTATTGTAATCACATGTCATTTATGGCCTTGAGAGTAAAGAATTGTATTCAATTTAGTTGTAATGTTCAGTGCTAAAATTTTGGGGTTTTTTGTAATTGGTTGCTCAAAGAGACAGGAAGTTACCACTGTATTGTGTTACTTAGAAAATTTCTTGTGTGCGTATATATCAGCTAAAATTCAAAGAACAGTTTCTCATTTCAGAAAGAATGGTCCATTTATTGAAATGTCCTGATTTCTTCAATGCCATTTTTTTTTTTCTTAACTAATTATATGAACTTGGAAAAACTAAACTTTGGAACTAAAATAATAGCTACCATCATTTTGTTCTTTTGTTAAAAGGGGTACAGCCTCCTCACCATGAGTGACAATCAAAACAATACCAAATGCCAAAAAAGAATAAAAATTAATCATACATGGTTATAAGACAAAGCACTACTTTTTTTTCTTTTTTAGAACAAAATTACCAGGGCTCTTTAAAGTGTCAATGCTCAGACTTCATTGATATTTACATAAGACTCAAACTAAATATCAACTGTAACATTTTCTGTACCTAGTTAAGCTTGGTTTCTCCATTCTAAATATTTAAAATGATCAGAAGAATTAGAAAGGCCATCAAAGAACAGTAATTACACATAGCATTACCCTAACCAATTTATTTGCATCATTCATTCATATACAGACAAAGAGTTGCTTTTCATGTGTTCAGGACTGGATACAAAGGGGGGATTAAAGTAAAAGTCTTTGCACTCAAGGAGTCCACACTTTATGGTAAGTCATTTTTAGTGAATTAGGTATATTGGAGATTCAAAAATGGCAGTGGAGTAAGTGAAAGCTACACTGACATGCTCCCAGAACCTAACTGTACATACAACTAAAATACAGAAAAGCCACCCTGAAAAATCAGCTGAAGACATGATGAAACCTAACAATATTCACATTATAGGAGTAACAGAAGAAGAAGAAAGTGAGCAAGAGATAGAGAATGTGTTTGAAGAAATAATGGCAGAAAACCTTCCTAACCTGGTAAAGGAAAAAGTCACACAAATTCAGATAATCCTAAGCAAGAAAAACCCAAACAGGCCAAGAGTGGTCTTCATGCCTCTTCTGCACTTCATGTGTCCATTAACTCCTCCAAACACAGAGATTTTGAGTTAGTCTTGAAAACTCCTTGACCTACAAATAATTGTGGAAATACAAACATGTAGATTCAAGGTTATTAATTTGAAGTCTTGTCTATGATGGTGAAAAATTGAAAACAATTTAGTGTCCAAAAGTAAGGTATTGTTTTAAACTATGGTACATTCATACAATGAATTAGCATAGTGTTTGAAAATAGTGTTTATGTAGATAAGTAGTGTTTGAAGACATGAAAAGTCGTTCATGATGTATTTAGCTAAATAAAAACCAACTCATGAAAGAATATGTGGAGTAAAAAAATCTAGATTTTTGTCATTTATATCTTACATAATAAAGGACTAATATGCAAATTGACCAAACTGTGGAATGACTGGTTGCTATGATGTGCACTGACCACCACAGTGCAGACACTCAACTCAGGACTGCCCCTTGGTGGTCATTGCACTCCCACAGGGGGGAGCACCACTCAGCCAGAAGCCAGGCTCATAGCTGGCGAGTGCAGTGGCAGTGGTAGGAGCCTCTCCCATCTCCATAGCAGCCCTAAGGATAGTTGTCAGTTGGACATCCCTCAAGGGTCATCCCCCAAGAGCTCCCAGAGTGCAAGAGGATGCAGGCTGGGTTGAAGTGCCCCCCCCCCCATCCTCCACCCCCAGTGCATGAATGAATTTTGTGCACTGGGATATATATATATACACATATATATATATTTGAAGGACATACACACAAAATGTTATTAGCAGTTATTCTAAGGTTGATATAATAGAATTTCTTTTTTTTTTAATCTGTATTTATAGTTTTTCTATAGTGAACATGTATTAATTTTGAACTTGAAAAAAATTTTTAATTTTCAGGATATGAAGTAAAAATTTTAAGGACTTGAGGCATGAAAAATGGTTATAACTTGGATGACTACTGACTTTGCATATGTACTACTGCTACTAATTCTTCACTACCCCGCTTTCTCAACCTTGCCTCCTTCACATATTTATCAGTGTATATGTCATAATAGTTCCCACACAGCCAGCCATGTGTACATGGAGTGAAGTAAGAATTGCCAATGTTATCATTATTAATTATTGTAATCATTCAGATATGTATGTTATATGTCAGATACTGGGCTGGAAATGTTTACAACTTTTTGCTTCTTTAACTTTTATCATATAAATCAATCCTGTGAGCTTAATTATTATCCCCATTTGCAGAATAAGGAATCTGAGGCTGAAAGAACTTAAATGAAGCATTGATTTAAACTCAGATCCCAAAATAAATAAATAAACTCAGATTCCAAGGTCAGGGCTTAAAGAACAATGTAACAATTTCAATGTGTTTTTAAATAATAGTTTTTATTTTTATTTTTAAAATAATAAAAATATGTAGCAAATTTGGTTGCTTTATGCATACATGAGAGGTCAGGTATCATTGTTTTAACTTATAATTTGCTTATGTAATCACTCAAAAGGGAGAGCAACAGTCCACCTAGTGATGTAGATGCTTCCAAGCAGGGAAATCAATCACTTCCCCCACCAAAAACGTTCTCTGTTCTAAAATTTTCTCTCTGCTTTAAAGTGAAATTTTTTAATTATCTCCCTGGGCCTGTGCCTGGTACCGTTTGCACTTATTATTAATACATTTTTCACTGCAGGATTTCCTTTGAGACATTTTACTATGGATGCTCACAATACCTAGTCATTCCTTTCAGCTTCTAGAAATTAGTAACCTGCAGTTATGTCACATTTAACTTTCCAAGAGCTTTGACGTTAAGCCACAATTTAACTCTCCTAGCACTCCATCTCATTTTTTTATTTTTTTTTACCCTCTCATCTGTCAAGTGATCCAGGAATGGGTTAGTACTCTATGTAATTTATATGAAGATAAAGAGATGAAGAGAAACAGCAAACTGTTCATTAAACACTATCACCCATGGAGCTTTAAAGCGATAGAATCTGGAGTTTCAAAGTACTGTGGAAGCCTGTCCATTTACCACGGTTTTCTCCTTTGTTATGCAAATGAAAGAAAACTATATTTTTATTTGAAAGTCTATATTTTTATTTGGAAGAAAACTAAATTTGTGGACAAACTGAATGAGCAAAATTAAATAAGAAAAATCAAGTTGGGGAGGTGAGGTTAAGCTCACCTTTAGGATCAAGCCAAGGCTGTCGAATTTGTGACCGTTATGATTATAACACACTAGGAGGGAAGGTTAGACCAAATGTCCCAGACCCACAACATTTCAGATCTGGGGAGGATGTCCGTATTAAACTTCCAACTTCTCACCGTGGAGGACTAGATGTGTATATTAATAAAGACAGCTCTGAACAAACTATTCTTTACAGAACACCAAAAAGAATTAGGATTGGAAAAGCTCTCAAAGGTCAAATCTGCTTACATTTTGCCCTAAATTCTTCTTATAATCTTTTGGTGCATATTTTTCTGTTCTGATTTCAAGTACTTCAAGATAAGCAGCTGCCACCATTTCCCACTGGAACTTAATTTCATAATGTAATAGTTTCCAAAGTACATCTTCCTGAATGACAGGCAAAACGGTCATTGTTTCACTTTATTTTCTGACTCCCATTTCCATTCCTTATTGGGTACTAAGTGCGGTGCCAGGCTTGAAGTCTTACTGCTGTTGATGGCCAAGATACTGCTGAAGGATCAGCCAGATATGAAAATCCGAACCATGTGCTGGAAAGCCTATCCCTTCCGCTAAAATCCAGCTTCTAAAATCCAGCACACACTCCCAACTACCAGGAAAATAAATGCCTCGTTTTGATTTATTCCAACACTCAAATGTAGTGTCTCGTTGGTTTATTTTTTAGCTGTTTTTTTCCTCTCATCCTTAGGAGCACTGATGCAGGATAAAACAGTTTCAGCAGAGAGTTGTTTATATTCTCTTGCTGAAATTGATGTGTGGCCCTGGCCCATAATATTTATTTATACATGCATTCCTTTTCACTTAATTGTAATTAACATGCTGTTTATTGCATTCCTTTTACCTTTCCTTAAGAATTTGCTTTTTCCTTCAATTGTTTGCATTGATCACTTTTGAATTTCCTCCCTCTTATTTATTTTTTGGCATAAATAATAATTGGTGCTACAGTGAGAACTTGATAAAGCTTTTTATTATGTTCCCTTCTGTCCAACAGCAACCTGAGGCATAAAAAAAAAGTCTGAACAGTTTGTCCAGAGTCACACAACAGAACAGAAACAAAGTTTTAATAGGAATTTGTGCTCTTAGTTCTCTCTCTATTTTTTTTTTTTTTTTATTGAAGGTTCAGGTATCCTCATATTTCTGTTGATTTTTTTTCTCTAAATCCTTTCCTTTTTTTTTTTTTCCTGTATCTTAATTTGAATTTTCTCTTAAATTATTATATTTGTTTTGTTTTTAAAATGTCTTTTTTATTCTGTCCTCACTTCTTATCATTTATGAGAACTGTAGAACAAATTCTCATTTTCTCACTTCAGTAAAGAATAATTTTCTTCTCCAGATCATTAGTAAGTATTGCTAGTTAAAAACTTAATGTCTGAATATATGTAACGATCTTCTCTGGATGGTTCAATAAATGTATTAAAATTTTTTATAATTTTTTTGGGGGGAAACCCAGGTGATTCTCACTTTTACCAAATCCCAAAATAAATTACAAATAGATTGAAAAATTAACTTTTTAAAAACCTTAACTTCCAGGAAAAGTTGAGGTAAGAAACCACATAAGGAAAGATTAATATGTTTCACTGAGTATAAATATAACTGTTTCAAAATCCTTAGTATTTTAAGGCAACAATAAACTGTACATTTATAACATATGTTTGAAAAATAACTACTAACTTATCTATCACAGTAATGAATAATAAATATATTAATGTCATAATGTAAACATTAAGAAAGAACATGAACATACCATTCTCAAAGATAAGGATTGATAAATGAAGGAAGTTATGTGAAAATGTAGTTCTCTCTAGCTAAAGAAAGAAAAAAGTAAAATAATAAACCACTACCATTACTACCTATAAAATAGCAAAATTTAAAAATCAGTTTAAATGCTAGTGAAGTTTATGTGACTGAGTGATTTTAACTCCTTTTTTAAAACTTCTGAATTATACAAATTTGATACAATAAACATGTTTTTGTAACAAAAAAAAACATTTTAAAATCTATATGCTTAATCTTTTCAAGCACAAGACATGACTAAGTTTTCAAACTTTACGTTGATTTTACTGACACAATTTCCTAATTTCACCACATTTCAATAAAACTAAATATTGTTTGCTCCTTAAATATAAGATTTGACAAAAGTGGAGATTTCTGCAAGATAATGGCATCCTATGGTGATATTTCACAGCCAGGATAGGGAAGGACTTACTGGGCCAAGGGCTGCTCAGTGGAAATGTTCTCGGTAAGGGCAACAACCTGTGCAAGCTTAACTTCCTAACTGAACTTTGCGATATCATCTGAGGTGTTAGGGTGAAGTGCTCTGGAATTGTTTAGTGTTCGAAGGAAATGGACTTGCCATAATAAAGGGAAATTTTAAGATAAATAGGTAATCAAGAAGGACATATTTTATTTTATTTTATTTTTAGTGACAAAGGTGCTATCCATTGATTTTTAAATGTTAATGTTAATCTCAGAGTAAACAATTTTCAAGTTTCTGTGAAGAGCTCTTAAAATAGATCTCTTAGAGAAGCAGAAGGTGGGAGTTAGGTAGGACCTTATTCATTATTAGTGACCTGGTGCATGAAATTTGTGCACATTAAAAGGAGATTAGTTAGAGGAAATAATTTAATATTGCTATTTGCCCTTTCTCTATAATAGAAGTGTCAGAGATGAAAGAAAATTAGTAAAATGTATATGAAAACCTTCCTCCTGTCAAAGTCAGGGGTGCACCACGGGACCCAGAATTAAGTCCCCACCTATCCACATGCACTTCAATATCACCTGAGACTCAGACCCAACTGCCCTCCCCCCACACCCCCCACCCCCACATTGGGGCTAGATCCAGACCTGGCCAGTCCCACCTTTGTCAAGCCCTGCTGGGCAGGGGGCATAGCCTCAGGTCCCCTGGCCTAGCAGATGGGGGGTGTGGCCTGAGGTCCCCCAGTCCTGAACAGGGTAGGGGGTGTGCCTTGAGGTCCTCCGTCAAGCCATTCCAGGTGGGAAATCGGGTTTCTGAGATTCCCTGTCAAGCCTCGCTGGGTGGGGACACAGCCTGAGGTCCCTTGTTAAGCTCAGCCAGGCAGAGGGGTGCAGCCTCAGGTCCCCTGGCCTGGCACTGGGGTGGAGGGTGTGGCCTGGGGTCCCCTGTCAAGCCCCAGGGGGGTAGGGAAGGGTGTAACCTCAGGGCCCTGCTGATTGCTTGTTAAGGCTCCTTATGGGAACTTGGCCTCAGCTGTGGGTGCAGCCATCTTTGTGGTGGAGAGATGGTCAATTAGCATATTCCCTCTTTATTAGATAGGATTATTTAAATTTAATGAGAGGTATAGCTTTTTATAAGCCATTTACTTACACTATCTGGTTACTCCTTGTAATAATCTTCTGAAGTACATACACTTAATTACGTGTTTTACGAAAGAGAGGAGCCTGACCAGATTGGCTCAGTTGGCTGAGCATAGTCCTGTGCACTGAAAGGTTGCCGGTTCAATTCCCAGCCAGGTACCTACCTGGGTTACAGGTTCAATCCTGGGTCAAGATGCATAAGGAGGGGAACCAACCTCCTCTCTCTCTCTCTCCTCTCTCAGAGAGCCATGTCACTCTTCTCTTCTCTCCTCTCCTCTCCTTCCCTCCCCTCCCCTCCTCTCCTCTCTCTCCCTCTCTCTCTCTCTCCCTCTCTCTGTCTCTCTCCCCCCCCCCCCTCTCAGCATGTCCTTGGGTGAGGATAAAAATAAAAGAGAAGGAAATTGAGATGCAATGAGGCTTCATAGCCTGACCAAAGGTGCACCACAGCGCCATGGGAGAGACAGGGTTTGGGCCCAGATGAATATGACTGCAAACATTGAGTTCTTATCCCTGAATGCTGAATTGCCTCCACATTATACCACAGTCAATCTTGACCTTCCTTCCAACAATAGACTTCAACTCTCCGGAGGGAACTCTATAGTCTAACATCATCTGCCCACCATACCCTTGCTTTTGGGTGACAAAGCAGACACAGCTGGGGTTTTAAATTCTAAGTTGGGTTGAAACTTTGCTTCACTATTGTGTTCCTACATTAGTCCTGTCTTCACCTGTGAAACGGATGCACGTATTCCCTCAGAGAGCTGCTGGGGAGATTCAGATACATATGCAAAAGTGCTTAGAGCAGGTGCTTGGCAAATAGTGGGTGTTTAATAAATATTCGTTTCCTTTCTTCTCTTGCCAGAGAAAAGTCATTCTTCCTTTAATAAGTTATTTGCATGGAAATGCTTTCATGGTTCTCAGTTTATCACAGAAGCCTTAGAAAATTTACTCACTAGGTCTGTCTTTTTTTCCCTGCGTGAGATTATTTTATTAAAAAACTCAAAGGAGGCACAGTGTGGAGCACTGTTTGTCCACCCAGAGGCGTGGCTCTGCGTGCACACATTCTCCCACGTGGTCACATGACCCCTCACACCTGGGTTTGCTCAGATGTTGGCTGTGGCTCCATCAGAAAAGGCAAGGCTCAGGCCAGGAGCTGGAGAGGGAACCTGGGACCTCAGAGGCTTCTCATCCCAAGTTTGGGCTGGTTTGCTGTGGGAAGCCAAAACAGAAGTTGGTGTTCGCTGATGTTCTGAATGCTCTCCTTTTGGGATTTGAGCAGACGTTTTCTGGTCTTACAATTTCCATGATTCTTGCTTCTCTCATCTCTCCTCATACTGTGTCCTCCAATTCCAAAAACTGCTTATATACTATTTCTCAAAGATTGCTTATTTCCTGTTCCCACACTTTTTCTCCTGTCAGACTCTTTATCTGAAATAACCCTTGACCCCAAATGTACCCATTGAACTTTTACTTTTGAGGCCCAACTCTAGTTTACCTTCTGCTAAACCACTGGGGTGCTGAATGTCATTCAAGTGTCAGATTACAGGTACTTTTGTCTTTTAGAACTGAAAATTGACTGAATAGAATAATGGTTTAAAGTGATGTAAGCTTAACAATTCCTTACTAAAGTACCTATGAAACCAGCAGAAGCCAAATTTTCACAAGTACACTGAAAACTATTATCAGAATCAAGAAGGAATTTCTGCCAATTTAAAGGCCAGAAAAAACTTGATTGAGACTATTTAAAAACTGCTTTTCCACTAAAAATAGATTAAAATTCTCAACCTGAATGTAGAACCATTCTTTGTCCCTTTCCATCTGTTGACCTTTTACCCAGATATACAGGAGCCATGTCACTCACCACCATCACACACACACACACACACACACACACACACACACACACACACACACACAGTGAAGGGGCAAACACCTTCCTAACAGGGAGGTGATGTTTTGGGGGTATCCAGAATATTGTCCCATAATTCCAGTGCAATGATCCAAAGGGGTTAAAAATAATAATAGTTGCTGTACACAACTATGATATCATAAGAGAAAAAGATACTTGGATATATATCAGTAAAGGTGCTTACCAAATTGTGTATATGTCCAAAAGACAATTTTATGCTACCAAAATAATTTGTGTGGTGTTTAATCCTCATAACATCCTTCTCCAATGCAGAAGAGGGTCCAACGTATCCCTGACATTGGACATGAGCAGCTTGGGGAATGTGGAACCCCTTGTGGCTGTACCAACCCCACGGGAGAAGGCAGCAATGGAGTATCTACAGTCTGCCAGCCGAATTCTCACAAGATCACAGCTGAGGGACGTCGTGGCAAGCTCACATTTACTCCAAAGTGAATTCATGGTGAGCCAGTTATTATCTGCCCTTCGTTAGATATTCTGATAAATGAGCCACTAGAGGCACATACAAGGATGGCACGACCCTGCACTGGACAATAAAAATGGTTAAAGTTCAAAGTTTTAAATCTACCCCATAGCTCATCAACTATTGATGTGTTCAAACTAGAATGTGATAACTCCGTTGAGGCAGACTATGGAGGAGACGGCCAGGCAAAGGAGTGGCGAGAGGAGCGGGCAGAGAGGAGCATTCCAGAAAGAGGGAACAGCCTTGCTGTCCTTGTTGGGGGAAGTCAGAGAAGATACCCCAGTTTTGTTACTTGAGCAACCAGGTGCTCTTTAATGAACTATGGAAAACACAAGAAGATCAAATGTGGTATAAAAATGATTGTGAGTTTCAGCTAAAAATTATGGTGACTTAGTGTTGCTGTGATAACTTAATTCATGAAGGCACATTTCTACTCAGAAAGGTCTTCTTTGGCCTAATTGTTACCTAAGGGGAATGTCCCTGTTATACTAGTGGATCAGTTTGCATCTTAAATATTAAGCTATAACTATTGAGAATAATAAATTGACCATTCTCAGGTCATTTCAAATATTTCAACTACCCTCATGGTGAAAGATCCACCAATAGGTTAGATCTACTATGAGCCTCGTCAATTATTATTAAGTGTTTAAAGTAAAACACAAACATGCAGTTTTTTTTAAGTAGACTTTGTAGTGTAGACTTAGTGAAATAAAGCAACCAGTCAATGATCGCACAACTAGCCAAAGTACTCCCATTATTTTTTTTCTAGAATCACAGAGAGTCTTTGTTCTTTAAGATGAGCCCTTAAATAGCCTGCTTTCCTTAAAGGAAAGATTGGGCAACAAGGAAGACTGAGAAGAGAGATAATGCTGGGAGATGACAAACTAGTGAGTCAGAAAGCAGGAAGGAGTACGGGGGGAATAAAGATGTCACCAACTCTGTGGCTTTGCCAAAACAGACTGACCTCTTTGAAATGGCCAAACATGAATATATGGTTTCTACTGACTTCAATAATTTCGCTTATTTTGGTAACTTGAACTGAGAATTTTAACCTTCAGTTGGAGTAGAGAGTAGGGATTAATATTATAACTACCTAGAATATGCAAGTATAGGAAATATTTTAAAAATATGTTACTCCTTTTTGTAAAGCAAGTCTCAAATTCATAGCATAGCCAGGCTTTTCTCAAAATTTTAACTCAACTGAAAACTAGGACAATTTGAACTAATTTATAGATAATTTATTTTATTTCAATGACTAGTAGGCTTTTGAGTAAAGTTTAAATAACAAAAAATATTACTTTATATAATATAGAAATACCAGTTATTTTATTTCACATTAACCTTGTGTTAGCAATCCTTTGTGGAATTTTAAATTAGAGAACATGGTATTTTTTATTACCAAATGCTCGCATATTTGTTTTCACCCTTTTGAAAACAGGCTTACTGGTGTTTTTGCCAATCAGCTGAAGATGCTCATCTTTGGGGTTTAATTCATTTCCACAGAGCCACTTCTGCTCTCATTATTCTGACTCCCATTATCTAAGACATATGAAATATATTCTTACTGAATAAAAATATTCTTAAGTGGGAGAAAACAATGCCTGGATGCTCTTCACTAAGAATGTTGCATTTGAAGCCACAATAGGAACAGTACAATTATAGACAGTTCTTTAATACAAAAAAAAAAAAAAGCATCATACCATCATCACTTGAATTAACACAAAAGCCCTTTATATTTGCCATTCAGGGAGGGAGGTTTTAATAGTCTTAAAAGAGTCACAATTAATGTCAAAAGAGAATTCATCAGAGAGAAATGTTGGGTCCTGAACAGAAAGATTTGAAAAAATGTGAATACATTGCTAAAATATCAGTTTTCAGGTTCCTGTTTATATATTTTCAGCAACTATACAGAACAGGATTCTTAAAATCTAACCAAATTTTTATGTTTTTCAAGTAACTACGTATCAAATAGAGCTTTCTAAGGCAGAGAACTGTTTCATAGAGTCAGCTTGCTAGGGTGCCGCTGATGTGTTTATGGAAGGAAGGGTGTTGGTCTGCCAGAGGTGGTAGGCTGTTGTTTATACAGGACTTTGAAGTCCAGGAGAGCTTTGGATTAGATGCCCCCTGTGAAGATTTTCTTTGTGGAAGCATTAGATGTACTAATTTGATATCATTCATTTTTTTGCAGGAAATACCAATGAACTTTGTGGATCCCAAAGAAATTGACATTCCACGTCATGGAACTAAAAATCGTTATAAGACCATTTTGCCAAGTACGTTCCTTTGCAAAATGAATTAAACCCTTTGCATTTACCCATACCATACCACTTCCCATTGTCACAACTTCCACATACACACCAAATTTGGAATTGCAAACACTATCAAGTCTCATAATCTTTAAAATGGTCTAAGGTTAATAACTTTATCTTGTATTACTCTTATTATAGTGGGCAGGTCACAGTTTTAGTGTATACATGGTTCTAAAATTGTATTGTGCCACACATTACAGTCGATTTTTATTGATGTTGTCTATCAATTCAATGGAGGAATATAGTATAGTCTTTTTAACAAATGGTGTTGAGAAAGCAGGATACTCACATGCAAAAAATAATAATAATAATAATAAAATTGGACCCTGCCTCACCATATACACATTAACTCAAAATGGATCAGAGACCTGGAATAGTGCACCTGGAACCTGTATAATTTTATTAACAAGGTTAGCCAGTGTCACCCCCAATAAATTCAATAATAATGAAAATGTAAAATTGATTGGTGTGATGGTTTCAAACTCTCTGAATAAAAATAAATAAACTCTGTGAAGGCACACTTTAAACAGGTGAATTGTAGGGTATGTGAATTATATCCCAATAAAACTATACCAAAAAAAAACTTCATTTTGCATAACAATTACCTTGAGTCCTAATTAAAAATCTAGAATCCTGTGCCCTATTCTGGGATTCTGTGTAAGTCGGTCTGCTGTTGGGCCCAGGAATCTGTATTTCTCATGAGCACTGAGGTGATTCTCATTCAGATGAGACCAGCACCACACTTTGAGTAATATTGCTATAGATTCTATTAAAACTAAATTTGGCTCCATGAAATTTATAGATGTCAAAATATAAGCTGGAAGGCTGGAGCTAGCAAGGAATAAGGAACAAATTGTAAGATAAAGGAGATCATGGACTAGAGAGGAGAGACATGTAAGAGTAATTGCATTCAATGTAGTAAGAGCCAGGACAGAGACCTAGCTCAAGTGATGCAGGGCTGTAGAGACGACTGAGAAGTTAATTCTGATTGCAGTGGCAAAAATACTTTGGAGAGGATGTAGCATTTTGAATCATTAAAGAAACAGATGTGGTTGGGGTTTTGATAAAATCCTCATGACAATAGCTCTGGAAAGATAGAACCACAAGGATTTTTTAAAATATGTTTTTATTGGTTTCACATAGGAAAGGGAAGAGGGAGAGGGAGAAGGAGAGGGAGAGAGACAGAGGGAGAGAGAGAGAGAGAGAGAGAGAGAGAGAGAGAGAGAGAGAGAGAGAGAGAGGAGGAAGAGGGAGGGAGGAAGAGGGAGGGAGGGAAGGAGGGGGAGTGGGGGGGGAGGGAGGAAGGGAGAGGGAGGGAGGGACGGATGGAGGGAGGGAGGGGGAGTGGGGGGAGGGAGGGAGGGAGGGAGGGAGAGGGAGGGAGGAAGAGGGAGGGAGAGCGAGAGACAGAGAGAGAGAGAGAGAGAGAGAGAGAGGAAGAGGGAGGGAGGAAGAGGGAGGGAGGGAGGGAGGGGGAGGGAGGGAGGGAGAGGGAGGGAGAGCGAGAGACAGAGAGAGAGAGAGAAACATCAGTGATGAAAGAGAGTCATTTATTGTCTGCCTCCTACACACTCCCCACTGGGTATCAAGCCTTAACCCAGGCATGTGCCCTGACCAGGAATAGAACCGCGACCTCCTGGTTCATAGGTCAATGCTCAGCCACTGAGCAACACTGGCTGGGCAAGATTTTTTTTTAAGGTATTGACATTGAAATAGTGGAGTTTTCATAATTCAGTCCATTAATTCACTCAGATGACAACAAATGTTCCATATCTATAGTAATAGCAAGAAATATGGTGTCTTTGGGATTCTCCTGCTGGTAGACTTGGAAAAGCATTGTTAAAGTCACTCTACTAGAGTATATTTTTAATTGTTTCATATAAGTTGAATCTGTTTACTAAGGTATAGTCACTGTGAAAGATGTTTTATAACTGTAACTAGCTGAATGGGATAAAACCAATTTGTGTTAGTATTGCTGTCTCTCTCTTTCTGTTAAGACTTTTTTATTTAAAATTTACCAAACTAGGTAACTAGGGAACATGCGTCAATTGCAGTTATTATATTTACTCACCTACTCTCAGAAGGATTTGGAAATTATTAGGGTTACTTCTAAGTTCAGCCTTCTCCATTTCCTGCCCAGATGATATCAGACAACTGCTTCATAGACCTGTGTCAGCTTTTCCATTCCCAGAACTGGGTGAATCGCTTGAGCCAGGGCACCTGTGCTGACAACTGACGTTGCAAATGATGGATTTTCTGTTGAAAATGTTTCTAGCCTGAATACCACCCCACCCTCTGTTGCACAAAATACAATTTAGTCCATATGGCTGGACAAGCCACACCAGAACTAGACTAGAACAAATATGCAAAGTTGTTCTTTATGGCTTATTTTAGACTGCAATATGAGATAAGCTTAAAATATTACATAAAAAGTAGTTAGCAAATGACTATATTTTAAATGTTATGATTGTTTTTATTGTTTTGACCTACAATGAACTTTTATAAATATTCAATATCATTTTGTATTAATTTCAGGTGCACAGCATTGTGGGTAAAGAAGCATATACTTTACAAAGTGTCCCCCCTGATATATCCAGTACCCAACTGGCCACATACATAGTTATCACAATATTATTGACTGTAATTCCTTTAGTCATCCCCATGGCTGTTTTACAACTACTAGTCTGTACTTCTCAATCCCTCCACCTTTCCACCTGGACCTCTAACCCCCCTCCCCTGTGGCAACCTGTTTCTCTGTCTCGGTTTTGTTTGTTCATTTATATACAATGAACTTTTAATTTTAAAAGTTTGTAAGCTTGTAAATAATGGTGAGGTTATATAATTTTGAGAATGTTTGCAACAGAAATATGGATGGCCAAGAACAAATTAAATTATAGCTGCCTCCCCAAGGACAGCATCAGCCCAGCTCAGAACACTCTTAAGTGGTTGATTAAAGTGCCAAGGTCAAATTTATATCAAATTATTTTGCAATATAAACAAGCATTAGTGATGAAAATGTGTCTACATCCTAAATCACAAGAGCATTGGGGGGAAAACTGACCATATATTAATATGAAATTATTTATAAAACAATGAAGTATAATAATAATAAATGTTGTGTTTTTCTTTCATGCAGTCAACTTATTTTTACTAATATAAAACACTATAGATAAAATTAAAAAATTCTATTTGTTCTGACCATCATTTCATATTTAAAAATTTAATATCTGGTGAAGTTTCCAACTTAAATTATTTTTCCTCTTTTATTATATTAAGTACATAAAACAGAATATATATGCAAATAACTTAACTACTTATTAAGACAAGTTATATGGCTATAGCAAAATATTGGGGTTAGACTTAAAATCCTACCCTGGTAAAACATTTATAATTTAAGGCAGGCTACTTAATATTCCTGTGCCATCCTTTCTGTATTCCTAAAAATAGGTGATAATAATACTACCCTCTAGGACTATTGGGAGAATTAAATGATAATATGTGTAAAATCCCTAGGAAAGTTTCAACTAACAGTAAGCCCTCAGCTAATGTTAATTTCTGCTTTCCCTCTCTAACATATAAGATGGATCCATTATTAGTCCCAAAACCAATTCCAGGAAGTAGGGACACTATCTATATAGAGAAAAACTTACAGTTGCAAAAGAGACATATTCCAGAGCCCTGTTTTATTTTATAAATTTCACATGAGTCGATAAAAAAGAGCTTCTATGTAATCACTATCTTTATTGCCATGACCAGCACTGTCCACTAACACTCCCTGCAAAGATGGAAATGTCTCATATCTCTACTGGGGTAACCACTAGGCACATGTGGCAACTCAGTGCTTGAAGTATAGCTAGTGAACTCAAGGATCCAATTTTTAAAGTTCATTTTTATTTAAATTTAATTAGCTACCGATGGCTAATGGCTGCCATATTGGACAATGTCTTCTCTCCCGCCTACAGAAAATTTGAAGATGCCTCCCAGTCACCTTGAAGGTGTGGCCAGTCCCTGCCTTTCCTCCCTTTTCCCATTTATCTTGAATTCATCTGTGAAAGCAGTTCTATTCCTCTCATCCCTGTCTTTGCCCACTACTAGCAGTCATACGCTTGTTCCTTATCTAATTGTTTCTTCTCTTGACTTCAAACTTCAAACACATTTCTTCCTGGAGAGGAAATCTTCAGCACAGAATAGTCTTTGATAAAATCTTATATGATGCCAATCAAAATGCCAGGCTCCAGGTACCATTTCTGTCTGTTAAATAGGAGACTTAAGATTACTAGAAAGTATTTTAAAGAGACCAGGGCGAGGAAAGTTCACATGTTCTATTTTTCAAATCTGTATGTGTTGAATAATTTGTTGAGAGGAAAAAAGAAACAGGAATGAGTGAAGAAGGGAGGAGAGGAAGTGAAGAGAAAAGAAGGAAGGAAGGAAGGAAGGAAGGAAGGAAGGAAGGAAGGAAGGAAGGAAGGAAGGAAGGAAGGAAGGAAGGAAGGAAGGAAGGAAAAGGAAGGAGAGAAGGGAAGGAGAGAGGGAGGGAAAGAAAAAGGAAAAAAGATCTAGAAGAAGGAAGGAAGAAAATGAAAAGGAGCAAAAGAGAGGAAGGAAATTGACCAGTGTTCAATTAATATTTGTAATCTTCACTGATATTGCCCAGAAGTATCATAAATGATATGCTAAATATTGAACACATAACCTAGAAATATCAGTTCTGAGAAAGGTTATTATAGTGAATTTGACTAATATGTAGACTTAAATGCATAACATGAAAATTTATAACAGTAGTGATGAAAATAATCACTTTAAAATGTTGATGATGATAAAATAAATGTTTAATCTTTGGCTGCTTTATTAGTCCAAGATAACATTAAAAAGGCTTTGGTTGGAACCCCACATTTTCTACTATTCAGTCATATGCTTTATTCTTGTTTTAAAAATATGTATTTGGAAACCTTTAAATATTTATAAATACTATAAATTAACAATTTTCAAGATAAACTTAATTTAGCTTGACAGGGAACCTGCTTCTAAGAAGTTAAAAGGGTTGAGTAAATCATACACATTTGCAGACATTATAAAAGTTGAAGGAAATAGGCATTTGCAATTCTGAGTGGTCTAGGGTGTCTGTAGAAACTTCTAATAATCAGTGGATACTGAAAATGAATGAGAGTTTTCCCATTCCCTTTGCTAAGAAGAAGAATATATAGAAAGCCAAAAGCAGTGTTTTACTCTTTCTAATAGCAATAAATTCTAATATTAAACATTCTATGAGCCACATTCCAAATAGAAATCACAAAGGATATAAAAGTTAATTAAATATAGCTCTTGCACTCAAGGGGCTCACCGAAATCCATTGAGGGAAGGCAGAAATTTAAGTATCTGAAATATAAGAAGGTAAATACTAAAATAGGAGAGAGCCTGCACAAAGACAGGAATGCCTGACTTTACCTGGGAATTCCAGGGAAGGCTTCAGAAATAATGCATTTCTTGAACTGAGCCCTGGAGAATGAGGAGGCATTTACCGTTATCACAGAGAGTTCTGTTGGGTAATGCTACTCTAGGCTGTCTGAATTGTCAATAAGGATTCATAATAAATTGAGGTCAGTGGATAAATAAATGTACGTGTAATAGCTCCTTGGAAATTCACAAGGTACGGTAGCATAAAGAAGACCATGAAAAGCCCTCCAGTCAAAGGGGTGTGGTTCTACTTTGTTTAAGTCAGTGTTTCCTATATTTATTTGATTACTGAAACTTCTTTTTTAAAGATTATCTCATTTATAAATTATATGACCTAATTCTACAGGGGGAAAAATGATTTACAGATAACAGTTTGGGAAATAGTGGCAATTAGGATCCATTGAAGCAGAGATGATGTGATCAGACTGCCTTGGCAGCAATAAGATTGAAAGCAATAAGATCAGATGGCATGCTCACATCCTAGTCTAAGAAGACAGCCATGGGAAGAGAGAAGAAATATAGGCCCAGAGCATGTCAGGAGATAGAACAGAAAGAATATGAGTAATTGAATGTGGAGGTCAAGCCCAGTAGGTCAACTTGTTTTCCAACATGGGCTCTGGAGCTGTGGGAGCGCATCTAACAAAGAATAACAGAAGGCTAACAGGAATACATGAGGCATGTGGAATTTCACAGGCTTGTGGTATATCCAGGAAAAATAAAGAGAAAAGCATGGCCTATAACTTCAGAGAGTTGTCTAGTCTAAGATATAGCTAATAGTGAAAGTTATGGGAATGAATCAATTATCGATACCTAACAATTACCTAAGAAAACTGTGTCAAATGAGCTTAGAGGAGGGCCACGTTGAGTCTTAGAATTAGGGGAGGGTGCAGATGAAATAAGCAGGAGATTGAAAACAGACTTTTAACGCATTAGCAGGAAAATCAGAATGTTGTGACCCAAAATCCAAGGGAAGAGAGAACTTTAAAAAAGATATATGGTCAATGTTTTTTGAATGCCACAGAGAGGACATGAAAAAACAACAACAAAAAAACACTCACGTGGAGCTCATTTGGTTTAGTAACAAAATATTCAGGGTGGCATGAGCCAGAGTAGTGTCTGCATACCTAACATTACCATTATCAGATAGATTGGAGTGTACAAAAGACTTGAATGGTAGATGAGGAGGTAGGAATAGTGGGTATAAAAAGCTCTCAGAATTTGCCTGTCTGAAGAACAATAGAACAACTGCTAGAGAGGAAGGCATAAAACTAGCTTTAGGAAATGGAAGGGGCAATTTAAATCCATACCATAGACATTTATTGAGTGTCTGCTACATATTTAAGCACTGTGCTAGACACTGAGTCTTAGAGAGATAGTAAAAATTCTCCATTCTTGCCTGCAAGAAGCACAGCATATACCACGTTAATGAAATCTTAAAGGCACGATTTGATCTTAATACATTTATGTAAATGTTGGTAAAAATAACTACCATATTTTCCATAGCACCATGGTTCATAAAGAATTAGCTCATTTACAAATTATATGATCTAATCCTACATGTTATGGAAGAAATGGTTTACAGATAGCAGTTTGGGAAATACTTGGGAATTTTCAACTTCTTGATGGGAAGTGGTGTTAGAATTTAAGACACTATAATAATCTCTTCAATATCAGATATTTGTGCTGTTGGTGAACAAACACATGGTAACTGAGGTCAGCATCTTCCATGTTGTGAGAGGGATTTGAGTCAGACCAAATGTTTGTCATTGGGCAAGACAAAAGAGAGACAAGAGTAGGAAGAGTGAGTGCAAATTCCAAGCCCAAAGAACAAGCAAAGGAGCACAAATGAGAAATGGGGTCAAGAATCATGAACCCATAAATAAATGGCATGAAGAATAAACTCACCATCTCAGGTTTGTGAGTGAGATTTATGTCAGGAACAGGCATCAAATGGGCCCAAATATCCCTCAAGAAACACAGATGCATCAAAACACAGACATATAGACACTCAGACACAACAACAAACACCGGCACAAGTTCAGCCAGTCAATAGGTAAGTTACCATGTGTACTATGTACTGGTTGTTGGTGTTCTAAGAAACTTTAAAAAGAGTAATGTGTTTAATGTAGATACATTAAACATATCGGTTTAACATACTATTTCTTGCTTTCTTCATTAGATCCCCTCAGCAGAGTGTGTTTAAGACCAAAAATTATAACTGATGCATTGAGCACCTACATTAATGCTAATTATATTAGGGTAAGTAAATAAATATCGTTTCTTTCTGATGAGCATGTCAACTTACTCTTTGGACTTTAAGATTACATTCCCCCCCCCCCCCCCCCTTAGAATAGATGACTTTTTACTTAATTTGGTTAGAGCAAGTTCTTTGTTGTTGTTTGCTTAGTCAGAATCAACATTGGGCTCTAACCGGTTTGGCTCAGTGGACAGAGCATCAGCCTGCGGACTGAAAGGTCCCAGGTTCAATTCCGGTCAAGGGCATGTAACTTGGTTCTGAGCGCATCCCCAGCAGGGGGTGTGCAGGAGGCAGCTGATGGATGTTTCTCTCACATTAATGTTTCTAACTCTCTATCCTTCTCCCTTCCTCTCTGTAAAAAATCAATTATATATACAGATATATATATATATATATATATATATATATATATATATATATATATATTTTTTTTTTTTTAAATAATCAACATTGGTAGTGAGTATTTTACAGTGAGTCCTCCTTTCCTGTGCGTGTGTGGCTGGGAAGCTCTGGTGAGGACGAATCATTCTGACCGGCAGCACCGTGTGCCATGCTTAGCTTGCTGGGAGAACAGCCATGTGGGCTGTGCTGCTGGGATCAATTAAGCCACAGAAGCCTGTGTTGCTTTTGGAGGAGCAGAGCCATGTTGTTCTGAGATATTTTACCTAGATTTTCAGTGCACAGCATGAACTTCAAAGCCAATCTTTTGTATCTTTACTCACATTAGGGCTACAATGGCAAAGAGAAAGCGTTCATCGCCACGCAGGGCCCCATGATCAACACCGTGAATGACTTCTGGCAGATGGTTTGGCAGGAAGATAGTCCTGTGATTGTTATGATCACAAAACTCAAAGAAAAAAATGAGGTATGACTTATGCCCAAGTACTAAATGTTATATATTTTTTGTTGCTTTAGGAGACATATTGTGTAAGAAAAATTGTTGTGTACTTAATAATGGATTTAAGATGGAAACTTTTAAGGTATTTAAATGATAGGTCACTTCATGCTTTCCAGAAAAATCAATACATATTTCTCCTATGTATCCACATGTCACAGTAAGAAAATGATAGACCAGGAATTATCACTGATTATGACTATTTATAGGCAATGAAGTAAAAAATTATTCGTTTGTATAGCAAGTAATTTTTGTACCTACTATCAATATGTGGTAAATACTCTTTTAGTTGTTGGCAATATATTGGTAAGCAAAACACAGAAAGGTTTATGTTCTTGGTAGATTTTAACTCTCTTGGAGTTGGCAGAGAAGACCGACAAAAACAATAAACATAATACGATATGTTTATAAAAATATTAGAAGGGCCTGGCCAGTGTGGCTAAGTGGATAGAGCTTCATCCTGCGGACAGAAGGATGCCAGGTTTGATTCTGGTCAAGGGAACATGCCTACATTGCAGGCTCAATCTCTAGTGTGGGGCATGCAGGAGACAGCCAATCAATGATTCTCTTTCATCATTGATATTTCTATCTCTCTAACCCTTCCTCTTCCTCTCTGAAATCAATAAAAATATATTGGGGGGGGGGGAGATTTTGATGACAACCCAGCTGGCATGGCTCAGTGGTTGAGCATCAGCCTATGAACCAGGAGGGCATGGTTCCATTCCTGATCAAGACACATGCTCAGGCCCCTAACTGATTTGGCTCAGTGAATAGAGCCTGTGGACTAAAGGGCCCCAAGTTTGATTCTGGTCTAGGGCATGTACCTTGGTTGCGGGCACATTTCCAGTGGGAGATGTGCAGGAAGCTGCTGGTCGTTTCTCTCGATGTTTTTAACTCTCTATTCCTCTCCCTTCCTCTCTGTAAAAAATCAATAAAATATATATATTTTCTAAAAGACACATGCTCAGGTTATAGGCTCCTCAGTGTGGGGTGTGCAGGAGGCAGCCAATTGATCCTCTCTCATCACTAATATTTCTATCTCCCCTCCCTTCCTCTCTGAAATCAATATATATATTATAATAGAAGGAATAAATACTATAGAAAAAAGTAGCATGAGTGTGCTGGGATGTAGGGAGGGGCTGAGAAGGAAGTGTAAGCTGCAGTGTTGTATAGTGGATGAGCCTCACTAAGAAAGTGAGACTTGAAGAAAGATTTGAAGGAAGTTATAAAATCCGAGCAACTTACTCAATGTCTTTATAATAAGAAGCCCCAAATTAGATTCTATTTCCATGCTAGTCATCTTTTCTGAGGATCTAACTTATGGACAAGAATACTCATTCTGTACTTTGCATCATAAATATAAAATTGTGTCTCTCTTATCTCCCCACCCCCACATGGAGGTATGTCACATAGATAATAGGGTGGTGAAGACCTGAGGGTGGGGGTACAAGTTGGGTAGATAAGGGCAAAAGGGGAGAAATGGGAGACATCTGTAATACTATCAACAATCTATAATAATAAAAGTGTAATATGCTAATTAGAACAGATGTCTTTCCGGAATGAAGCCAGGGCTGCAGCAACTATGGCTGCGAGGGAGGCATCCAGGCAGCCGCAACTGCAAAGGCCTACATTTGCACGAATTTTGTGTGTGGGGCCTCTAGTAATAAAAATAAAGTAAAACTGTGCAATTCCCAAAGGGTCCTGGCCTGGGCACTGCTTACATTTTAGGGCATCTTGTCATCTTGTTGACACAGTTTGTAGTCTGGTTTTAGTCAGCTTTTGTGTTTGTTTTCTTCCCCAGGATAAGAAGAATTTAAGAAAACTGAATTTCCCCTTGTACCCCTTTAATAAATGGCAACCCTGAGTATAATATAATCCAACTGCTAATCAAGAAAATCTAGGCTCACAACAGCAATTTATAAGTTTTTTAAAGTTTATTGTTTTCTTACATTTTTCTTGCTGCAATAGATGAAGGATTTTTTTTTCTGAAATTTATTTTGGAAAAAATATATATTTGACCAGTAGATGAAGGTATATACTTAATTAACTATGTGGTTTACTAAATAAATGCATTTCTAAGAATTTTATATGAAAGCCTGAGGTGGCATAATAAAAGTGACCCATCACATTCTCAGCAGTTTCACCCACTCTCAACCAATCAAACATACTACGCCACTGACAACTCCTGCACAGTTGTTTAATATTCGTGACATCTTTGCCTTCATGGTAGAAAAATATTCTTCAAAGTTAAAAATGTATATACATCCATGGAACTTAGATAATATGGCAGACAAGATAACCTGAAAAACCTCCCATTACAAAACCAGTGATACTGGGTAAAATATGAAATAACAGGTACAACAGAGCTTGAAAAATAATGTGAAGGAAATCCCAGCAATTAAAAACAGAATAAAAGGCATCAAACCAGAGAATTACAGGTTATATGGAGACCAAGCCTGTGGCTCCCAAAAGCCAGGAGTTAGAACGGAGACCTTCCATAAGGGGAGCACCTGCCAGGGCAGGGCCTGTAGTGGAAAGGGGATCCAGGACAATAAAGTCGCCTACCAAAATAGGACTATAGCAGGAAATCCATCTATCTTAGTCCAGGCTTCTCTTGGGATAAATAAAAAGGTTCTCTTGAGTATTCAGAATTCAAAGCCAGGAAATGCCAAGTGGAGTAATTTATATAAAAAGTAATGCTGGCTTGGTAAGGCTCTGTAGCACTTCACAGAAACAAAGGCAAAACCTTTTTGGATGCATACCCTCTCAACATCTAGTTCACAGAATTTCCACAGAAAAACCCCAACCAAACAAACTCATAAGTCAGCATTGTGAGGCATACAAGTAAACAATATAAGGAAAATCAGAAGAAGCAACAAGTTATAGAAATAGACCTACAAAAAATTGAATAGAGGCTATATACTATAAGCTATATTTTCATAATTAAGCACACAAATTATAAAATAATAAACTCAAATGAAAAGAGTAAGTTACAATTTAAACAGACTAGGGAGAATTTTAAACCAAGGAGTCCTAGACATAATTACTATATAGACACTATTATGAAAAAGAAAAATCTTCTTTAGGAAGGTTTAATAGTAGGCTAAACACAGCTGAACAATTACAGGATATAAAGAGAGAGAGAGAGAGAGAGAGAGAGAGAGAGAGAGAGAGAGAGAGAGAGAGAGCGTTAAGAAAATTATCTAGAAACTTGAAATGACCAAAAAATGAAAGAGAGTTTATTATACAGAGAGGGTAATATTTAAATGGCCAACATATGTCTTATAGAGAAGAAATGGGAGAATATAAAACATGAAGTAATATTGAAGAAACAATGGTCATGGATTTTCTAAAACTGATGAAAGACATGAGCTCTCACGTTTGAAAAGCACAATAAACCCTAGGCTGGATACCTCAAAATAAATCTGCAAGTAGACACCTGAATGAAGATAATATTCACAACCAGAGTAATAGAAAAATGGCTTCTCAATAGCAACAATAGAAACCAAAAATCAATTGAATGACCCCTACAGAGATATGAAAAGCAAACAACTGACCATATGGCACTTGTAGCAACATTTCCTAGATCTGAGTAGAATGCATTATCCCTGTCCACTTTGTTTTGAATTGTAAGTTTCTCAATACTTTGTTTGCTAAAAGTACATCCATACCCTTACTATATTCTATATCCTCTTCAATTAAAAACAAAATCATTTAATATGAACACTGGAAAAAGCACTGAGCATTTCAATCCTTAAATCTTATGATGTATTCCTTCCCTTGCATAGAAAGGGTAAGCACTGTGTCTTTAGTGCTCTAACTTCTTCTTGAACCAGGGATAGAAGCAGCTCAGGTTGCTGGTTAGTCAGAAAGCATTCCCTGGAGGCTAACATGTGACATATTTTAAAGATGTCAGTAAGGGTGAGACTTAGAGAATATGCCAAAGCTCCAATTCTTCTCCTTTGTCCCCAAGACCAAGGTTGGCATTCTAACAGAGGTGCTGCATGAGATTAATTCGCATTTCAATGTGATGCTGAGTTGGTTCTCAATGATGCTCAGGACTTTCCATTCTGCATCTGGAAAGGAAGAGAACACCTCTTGTTCTTTATTTTTCAACCTAAACACAGTTGGAGGTACCCCTTGGTACCACTCTCATAATTCACATTCTTCATTGGGAAAGCCAAGTGGATCTGTTGAAAACTAGATTTAAAAAAAAAATAGTAATGATCACACTAAAGGGTGATTGAGGTCTTTGTTTTTCTCTTGGACTAAATTTAGAAATTGGAAAGGTATTATTTTCTTACAATTTTTAGCCTCTTCTCTTTTTAAATGTCGGGGATAAATCTTCTGGAAATATCAAAGTTAAGTATATCATGTTTTCTAGGTGGGATTTTCTGTGTGTATTGTCCTGCGGCTAGTCATAATCCCAAATGTTGCAGTAAAAATTCTTTTTCATTGTTGATTATTCATTAAATTAAAATGAAATTCCTTTCCATCCAGACTCTCTGAAGATGTAAATACATTACGATAGAGGAAACTCTTGATGTTTTGCAGATCAAAATGATACTGAGAGGTCTGGCACAGAAGGAAAATGCAGCAGACTTTACACTCCCGGGAAAGCGCTGTTTACCAAAAATGTGCCAACTTTCAATTGTGTTGAGCGTCATTGTTTAGAATAGACAAAAATCATTTCCTCCCAAAAAAATGAAGGTGGAGTTATCTTTAGAAATTCCCAGGCTTTATATTTTCATGAACCTTTATACTTTTTAAATAAATAAATGAAGAATTTCCAGCTCTTATTTAATAATACCAATATTCTTATAGTTTTTTAATAAAATGAATATAAACAAAAACTTTCAAAATGAAGCTGAAAAATCAGTTCTATGGCGTGAAAGAGAAGAGAGTGTATGGCTGGTAAATTTTAGTTCCTTCAAATTGCAAGAAGAAGGGAATTCCTTCTGCAAGAAAGA